GGATGGGTGGGTAGGTAGGTTGGATAATTGGTGGGTCTGTAGGTTGGTTGATGGGTGGTTGGGGAGGTTGGTGGTTGAGGAGGTTTGATAATTATCAAACCTCCCCAACCTCTCTTCACCCAACTCCCAGCACACAAGCTGATTTATGTCACCTGCTCAGTTCAATGCTATTTATTGAACAAAGCAGGAGGGGGCGGAGGCGGGGGGCACTGAGATAACATTTCATTTCAATTAAATTCCCTTTATTTCTTTACCCAGTTGAGAGCCAAATGAATGGAATTCATTGTCTACGTTATTGAACTTTATTGAAGGGATGCTGCTGCTGCTGCTGCTGCTGCAGTCCGATGTCCAACAGCACCCATGGGTTTCGCGATCCAGAAGTCTTCGGTTCGATTCCATCTCCCCGGCAGCGCGCGGCTGGCAATTGAAACAATTCGGCGATTATCTTAAAATCCCTTCCGCTTCCGTCCACGCAGCGGCACCAGTGCGCGAGATGTTAACTCCCTCGCCTGGTATGCAGGAGGTCGTGGGTTCGTTCAATCCCGACCCTGTGCATGAAGAGGCTGTGCCACGGTGATGTGGTTTTATCTTCCTTGCCTGGCAGGCAGGTCGCGGGGGTTCAATCCCCGACCCTGTGAACGCCTGCTGCTGCTGTATATTTGGAGTTTGCGTGTCTTTCTCTCCCCGTGGTCGCGTGGATTTTTCTCCGGGTCCTCCGTTTCGCACCCCCCCCCTTCACATTTAGAATCAACATCATGCATTGGGAGAGTATTTGGCTGCTATGCATTTCCGCGTCATCGGCCACTTTGTTGAGCGACCATTTGTGACCAGGTCGCTTCTGAAAACAGAGCTGCATAGCTCAGTGAGCCTTAACCCGGTAAAAATAAAAAATGTAAAAAATGTAGAATTGCTCTCACCACAGTTCGTCTAAGGTCGGCAGTCCTCGCGAGTGGCGGGGTAAAGTGTGTAAGAGTTGGTCCCATGTACACCTTGTTTTAATGAGAGGTGGCTCATTGGAGCGCGCCTCTTAAGCGGGGAGCCCCCTTCCACTCGAAGTGGCGTCAGCGGGGCCATTGCAGGGGCTGCACCTCTGTCCCTTGGCACCTTTGTGCGTGTTTATGGAGGCTGTCCAGGTTGTTCGTGCCCATTTATGTGGCAATAAGAGCCTCTTGGGAACCCCCTCGCCTGCAGGATAGGGCCCTGGTTAATGAGTAAGAGGGCTCACGTGTGCGTGCTTGCGTATGTGTGGGTGTGTGTGGGGTTGTGTGGGGTGTGTGGGGTGGGGAGCGGTGGTGTAGCGATTAGCGCTACGCTGCGCTACGAACCTGGCGACCCGAGTTCGATTCTCGCTCACGGCCAACATCGGTGAAGATTATCTGAACCGGTCTTGGGCCTCCCCTAGGTTGACTCAGCCTGAAATTAGTGGGTGGCCAGCACCGAATGCAGCCAGGCACGGTGTTGGCCACCCACCCCCTCGTGTGCTGTACCGGCCTTTATAGGTGCTCGCTATCAGCACTTGCCCCAACAGTCTGTTATTGTTTATGTTTTGCGTGTGAGGAAGTACAGCGAGTAGGTAGTCACCAGGATGACTGGCTTTCCCCGCAGAGCGTGCGAGGGAATTCCCCTTCGCACACGAAGAGAGCGAGCCGTGCGTGAGCGGTCAGTAGCACCACTGGACTTGCAACTCCGGAAAAAGAACATCAGAATATGTATTTATGTGTGTGTGTATGTTGAACTTCGTTTGCACCGTACGTAGCTAACCGTGCCAATCGGATGTGTGGCAGGGGGGGGAAGGACAACAAACTTAACACACAAAAAGCAGTTCTAGAGAAATTCGTTTTCAGTTGATGTGTGTTGAACTTCTTTCGCACCGTACATAGCTAGCCGGGGGAAGAAAACAAACTAAAACACTACAAATTATACTGGAGGAATCTGATGACCTATAAAGTTCTTTTTCGCAGATGCCCAGCAAAGGGCACGTGGTCAGAACGTTAGAACAACAACAACAAAACACGATGGGAGTACAAAGTATTGGAAAGGTATGCAAATCACGAAAAAAAATACAAACTAAACTAAATTCTCTATATATTTTTTTTATTGTATGAAGGTGAAGGGCCACTGAGCCGTAAGCTTCGTTTTCAGTCGCGACCTGACCATCACAAATATGATGGCCTTGCGAATATTCAATTGCATCTCCCGGCGCAGCAGTTGAAACCCCCAGTCTCAATTTGTCCGTTCAGGACTTGAAGCGGTCAAGACCGATTCCGAGAACGGTTTGCCAGATCACATACCGCTTGACCAAGTCACAAGCCGAGTACTCACAACGGACGCACCAAAAATATCATCATCAGCATCATCAGCATCCATGGGCAGAGGTTTCCACCGCACAGTTCGTAATGCGTCGTCTCAACTTTCCTCTGTCTTGTGCCGACACGCTCAAGTGGTGGTGGCATATCTTTCTGGCAACAGTCTCTTATGATGTCATCAAGCCGTTCCCTGTTAGCTCTTATCACTCGCCTGTTGTATAGTTTTCATTTTAAGGCCAAAGTAAGCGAAGTGTTGTTGAGTTTGTTGTTGTTGTTTGTGCACCGCTGCCAACGCAGCATCACCACCGAATAATTTGTTTACATTAGAATGAGAAGGTTTATTCAATATTCGCTTTCAGATGCGCTTCTGCGGCAGTCTGGAACGCTCTTCCTTCCGATATCAAGAAGCCACTGGGAGCTGTGATGCACTTTTACATCATCATCTTGACCAGGGGTGGGGAACCTTCTTTCTGCCAAGGGCCATTTGGATATTTATAACATCATTCGCGGGCCATACAAAATTATCAACTTAAAAATTTGCCCGTTATATTTGGTCAAACATTTCATTAACTCGCCCTAATGCGATGGCTGGAACTGCTTCTCTCTGGCGAGGCGTGTGACGTTAGCTGGTGTTGATGATGTTGCTGCTACTCGCAACTGCTTTTCCAGGTTTGCTCCTAGATTTATTGAATTTCGAGTCCCGCCCGCGGTTGCCTTGGCAGGGCCACGCCAAATTATTTCGCGGGCCTCATACGAACCGCGGGCCGGACGTTCCCCACCTCTGATCTTGATTGACAAACTCATTTATTTAGAATTGCTTCTTGTTGTTGTCTTTAGTTTGATGTTCTTCCCCCGCAACCTCCGATTAGCCACGGTTAGCTACGTACGGCATGAAAGAAGTTCAACAAACACGCATACATTTGTGGGTGGGGGGTTGTCGTGGTGTGTGGATGTGACTGCATGCGACTGCATGGCAAATCAGTTACCATTTCAAGGATATAGAACGTGATGCTTTTTGTATCCAGTTATGAACCTGCTGTTGTGTCCATGGGATACGTTACACTCAAGTGAGCGCATTAGCCGTGACTCATTTCTATGACGTTTGCTGTTTCCCTTTCACACTTTGCTTAATCAATTGTCAAAAGGTGCTCCTACTAAAGGATCGCAGAGCGCGGGGCAGATTTTTGTTGGCAGGACACGTGGCGGTTGCCACATTCTGCCGCATCGTATCTCATCCGCAATTTGGACGGCCGACGCTGTATACACAAAACAATTACAACACCCATAAGTGACACACCATGGAACCGGTTTAAGATAAATCAGTCCATCATCATCATTCGGCCGACGCTGTATACGCACATCAATTACAACACCCATAAGTGACACACCATGGAACCGGTTTAAGATAAATCAGTCCATCATCATTCGGCCGACGCTGTATACGCACATCAATTACAACACCCATAAGTGACACACCATGGAACCGGTTTAAGATAAACCAGTCCATCATCATCATTCGGCCGATGCTGTATACGCACATCAATTACAACACCCATAAGTGACACACCATGGAACCGGTTTAGAATACATCAGCCCATCGTCGTCGTCATCATCCGACGGAGGTCATTAAAATGAGGCTAACCGCTTCGTGCACATTTGATGAATCAGCTCCCCTCCCCGCCATGGGAACGTGGAGTAGCCACACCCGTGCCAAAAAAAAGCACTTGATTCTGATTCCCAGATGCACGGACAACACGAACGGGGACTGACTCCCCCTCTAGGTCGACTCGGCCTCAAATGATAGTACCTGGTTGAGGTTAGTGAAAGAAGCCGACAGCACCGGGGGGAGACAAAGGCGGGTGAGGGCTGGTTATCGGCCACACCACCGCTGCTAAGCCACGCTCACCCTAACAGGTGCTCGCTAACAGCGCCTGTCCATTCGGATCTGTAAGGGGTGTGTGTGTGTGTGTTTATCTTGTGTGTGTCTTTATCTTGTGTGTGTCTTTACCTTGTGTGTGTCTTTACCTTGTGTGTGTGTGTGTCTTTACCTTGTGTATATGTGTGTTTTTACCTTGTGTGTGTCTTTTTACCTTGTGTGTGTGTCTTTACCTTGTGTATGTGTGTCTTTACCTTGTGTGTATGTGTGTCCTGTACTGGCCACCCACCCACCCCCTCGTAGGCGCTGCTACTCGCTAACAGCACTTGCCCCGACAGTATGTTAAGGCTACACGGGGGAGGGGATCTTTGTCTTTGTCCGCAGTCCCTGTACGATCGTGGGAAACACGCCAATGTCACAATGGACACAGGACTGTCTCCACAGTTACAAGTGCCCCTTGCTCACAGTTATATAGAGCTCTGAGCGAAACAAAATGATAAACCCGAGACGACGACGATTATATTACAATAAATAAACACATCGCGATCTGTTGCGCCCCGTATTTTTGTGTTATCTCTCCCGAGTTTTTTCACCCGTGCCGTTTTTTTTAAAGCTTGTGGCTACTCAATTGATTTGTTTGAATTTAAAATGTTTCACCGGCCACCGTACCTGCTTGTACAGTACACCTGCAAGTGTGTGAACCTCCTGCGATCATTGTTTATTGACGGTGGCGGAGGGGCGGTGGTTAATGATTGACGTGATGCCAATCGCTTAAGGGCACTGAAACGGACCCGAAGAGGCCACACGAGTCACGATGCCGACGTGAGCCGCTCGACTCTTGGAGGCAACTCTCAAGGCAGAGAGAGAGACAACCACGCAAACAATAGAGGTACGGCGTCTTGTGTGTTCATCGCTACTCGTGTGTGTGTGTTACAGGTGGGCGAGATTTTAACTACCTCGCCTGGTGTACAGGAGGTCCCGACCCTGGACGCATGCTCGCTGTATATTTGGGAGTTTGCGTGTCTCTCTCTCTCTCTCTCATCATTATCACGGTGGCTAGGAGATGTTAACTACCTCGCCTGGTCTACAGGAGGTCGTGGGTTTGATCCCGACCCTGGACGCCTGCTCGTTGTATATTTGGGAGTTTGCGGTGTCTGTCTCTCATCATCATCACGGTGGCTAGGAGATGTTAACTACCTCGCCTGGTATACAGGAGGTCGTGGGTTTGATCCCGACCCTGAGGATGCCAGCTGCTGTCTGTTTGGAGTTTGCGTGTCTCTCTCTCATCATCATCACGGTGGCTAGGAGATGTTAACTACCTCGCCTGGTCTACAGGAGGTCGTGGGTTCGATCCCGACCCTGGACGGCCTGCTCGCTGTCTATTTGGGAGTTTGCGTGTCTCTCTCCTCCGGGGGTTCCCCTCCAGAATCGACATCACCCCGCGTGCGTTGCGAGTTAGTTTGGCTGCTGCTATGAATGTCCACGTGACGATAGGTCACTTCGTCCAGCTGCTATCATTTGTGATGAGCAGGTTCGCTTCTGATTCAAGAGTTACATAGCTCAGTGGGCTTCGCCTGGTACATTTTATTTTGAAAAAATAGTTAACGCTTCGGCTGCGCTATGGCATCCGGCCACCCGAGTTCGCGTGCCGCTCACGGCCACAGCCAAACGGCGGTCACGGTTTACCTGAACCGGTTCTTGGCCTGCCCTACGGTCGACTCGGCCTCAAACGAGTAAACCTCGCCACGAGGGAGACAAAGGCGGCCCGGAGCAGTGCCGGCCACATCACCCCCCCCCCCACCCCCCTCCCGTGTTTCGCACCGGAACTTCGCGAAGCCTCTAACAGTCCGTGAAGGGCTCCACGGGGGAGTATTTGTCTGTGTGTCGCTGCCTCTGTTTGCGGAGGGAGTGACGGGCGCTGTGGGGTTCGCTCGCTGCGCCGTGAACCAAAGTGGGGGGGGGGGGGGGTGGGGGGGTGGGGGGCCCGAGTTCGTGTTTGAGTGGGATCGAACCTTCTGTGCGGCCTCAATGGGGGCAGCATGCCGGTAACGCCGAGGGTCAACGGAGGGATACGTTCAGTGGGTGGTGGCGAGAGGCGTAGGAACCGGCCCAGATTCTCTCCGTAGGTCGACTCGGCCTTAAACGAGTACATGGCGTGGCGTGTAAAATAAAGAAATAAAACTAAACCAGCGCTGGGGGAGAAAAAGGCGGCTGGGTGTGGTTGATCGCCACACCCCGTGCGCTTCCTGTGCCATGCCAACCTTAATAGGGGCTCGCTAACAGCGCTCGCCCCAAAAGGCTGTGTCGTGGGGGGAGCGGTGGCGCAGCGGTTAGCGCTACGCTGCGCTACGAAGCCGGCGGGCCGACATCGCCACTGGGAGAGACAAAGGCGGCCGGGCGTGGTGTTGGCCACCCACCCCCCTCGTGTGCCACAGGGCCGGTAGCCTTCAAGGGTGCCGTGCGACTCGCTAACAGCACTTGCCCCTACAGCCTGTTAAGGCTACACGGGGGATTTTTGTATTTGCCGTGGTGTGTATGTATGTTGAACTTCTTTCGCGCTCTACACGTACTTGCGTGTCTGTGTGGAAAGTCTCACCGAGACTTGGGATGCAGAGCGGAGGCAACAAAGATCCCCGTATAGCCTTAGCAGACTGTTGGGGCAAGTGCAGTACCACGCCCGGCCGCCTTTGTCTCCCCAGTGGCGATGTTTACAAACCATACCATGTACTCATTTGAGGCTGAGTCGACCTAGGGGAGGCCCATGACCGTTTCAGATAATCGTCACCGGGAATTGGTAGCCGTGTGCGGGAATCGAACTCGGGTCGCCGGGTTCGTAGCGCAGCGCTAACCACTTCAGCACCCCGCAGGATAAAACTCAACACAACACACGCACGCACGCACGCAAGGGGACAGCGCTCAGCCATATATACAAGAGACACATTCAAAGTATTTAGCTGCTGCTATAAATGTGCACGTGATGATGACGATGATGATAGGCCATCTAGTTGAGCTCTCCTTTGTGATCGCCAGGTGGCTTCTGACAAAGAGCTGCCGTGCTCAGTGGGCCTCACCTGGTAACATACTTCTTCTTACATTTAGTTTGAAGCGTAACATTAGCAGACAACTCGCCTCTTTGGCAAATCTGTCCCTCTGGGTTAAAACAATTAAAGGGTGTTTCTTACGCAAGCCCATCATCGTTCCGGCAGAATTGTTTCGACAAAGCAAGCAAAACTCTGGCACCCGTTTTGACATCCGGTGTTTCATCAGCAGGGCGGCTCGCTTGAGCCCAATGCCGGTAACCTGTGAAATGAACGTTATTGGCGGTACACCGGCATACAAAAACGGCAACATTTTCGCAATCATTTACTTTCCCGCGACTCACAAACCCCGCTCAGAAAATCTTGCGGGGTGGTGGTGGCGGTGGTGGTGGCGGTGGTGGTGGTGGTGGTGGCGGTGGTGGTGGCGGTGGTGGTGGCGGCAGCGGCGGTGGTGGTGGTGGTGGTGGCGGTGGCGGGTCAAAAATCAGTCCTCGCGATGCCGAAGCGGGTCGGATGACGGAGCGATGACACGAGCGTCTGAACCACGACGAGGCTTCACGCAGTCCCTCGCCGTAGAGCGGCGACCCGGCCCTGGTGGAGATTGGCTGGCTCCGTGTTACAAAGGCAGCAAAGTTTGTGCTCGCGGACTACGACTTGGTCGGACGGTTGCCTCGATTCGTTTCTGGAATAATTTCTTGGCGGACGGTGGCATCAAAAGATTACAACTCGTGGTGGTGGTGGTGGTGTTGCCACACGTTCGATCGCAATTCGAGATCGACCTTCCGTATCGATGTTTAATCCACCGGGGCCTTCTCGCCTTCCCACGCTTGCCTCAAATTTTGAACGTCTCCCTCCTCTCTCTCCCCTCTGTCTCGCAGCAACCATGAACGCTCCGAACCTCGTGTCGCAACCCAGGATATGCGGCCTCCTGCCCTTCCCCCCCGTGCCGTTGGACGACGCTCACTCCAGGAGCTACGGCATCGGCTCCTCGCCCGCCGAAGCTCCGAGCTCGGCTGGAGTCCAACCTGAACCCTGCGAAACTTTCAGGTGCTGCAGCTGCTACGACAACTGGCCTCCTGAGTCTCCGCATCAGACGCAGCCACCGGTGTCTCCTCCGCAACCGCCACTGCCGCCGCCGCCGTCGCTGGCGGTGGTCGATTCTCAAGACCAGCAGATTAAATCGATGTCTGTGATGGACGCTCACAACGTACAACAGCACCAGCGCCAGCATCAGCACCAGCAGCTGCTCCAGCAGTGGCAGCACCGGCAGTATCAGCGGCAGTATCGGGACCAGCAGAAGCGCCGGCAGGTCAAGCCCGAGCAACTCCTCTCGCTGCTGGAGCGCGTGTGCACCATCCGCAAACCCCACACGAAGCGCCGCAGCCGCCCGCCAGGCCAGACCGGCACGACCAACGCCGCCCACGAGTGGAGCTACCGCGAAACGCCCGATTGGCGAGCGGCGGTGCCGGTGCCGGCGGCAGCGGCGAGGCGGCTGCCGGATCTGCTTTCTCAGACGACGACGGCGACGACGGCGACGACGGCGATGACGCCGGGGTCGCGGCCGCCGCCCGCCGCCACCGAGACGACGACCGCGACGGTCGACCGCAAGCAGACGAGCGTCGGCCGCTACATGGCGGCCATGAACCTGGGGGGGGGGCGCCGCTACGACGACGACCACGATGAAGACGGCGACGATCGCGACGCCGCGCGGGAAGGCCCGGCCACGGACGCCAACGGCGGGCCCTCGTCATTCTGGCGGCGCGCCATCGGGCGCTGCGTTTGCCCGCGGGGGGAGGAGGAGCAGGAGGGGGCCGATTCGCCCAAGGCGGTGGACATTCGCTTCACGGAGTGCGGAGAAATGTTCGTCGATTTGCGGTGACCGGCCTCCGCGTATTGGCGTGGCTTCGTCCCCCGGTCACGGGAGAGAGAGAGGGGGGGGGTCCGTGACCGGTGACGGCCGAGCCGACGAGGACTCGGATTCAAGCGACGAGGACTCGCCCGTGGGTCTCCTTTCGAAGGAGGATTCAACAATGGCCGCGTCCGCTGAGGGTCCAGGATCAAACTCTCGCCGGGGCTCTGTCGCGCTCCCCTCCCCTGCGGACGGACTCGCCGGCGGCCGTGCCGGACACCCTGAGCCTGCATCACTGAGTGCCTCACTTTCCTGCAAGGCAGGTTCACGGTGGACACGGCTGAACTCCTGCGTTAGAATCCGGGACTCTGCCGCCCCGCCGCCCCCAGTCGAGTGTGATTTCAACTGCGGGGTTGTGGGGCCTCGCGAGTGTGATGTCGTTTTGCGGAAAGAGAGAAAAAAAAAACTAAACATAGCGCCGCGTGGGCGGACGGTAATATTTGCACTAAAATATATCAGCCTGGCCCAGCTCTAAGGCCCGAACACTCTGCGAAGGGGGGAGGGGGGGGGGGTATTTAAGCTGCCTCGGCACGCGGCACGAATGTGAGTCCTGTTGGCAGTGGCCTTGTCGAAGCGGAGACTCGACGGGAAGGGCGAAGAGGAGGCCGCTGGCGGTGTGGCTGTGGTGGTGGTGGTGGTGGCGGTGGTGGTGGTGGTGGTTGTAGTCGTGGTGGTGGTGGTGCTCGCCCTAGGCCCCCCCCCGCCCCCCCCATCCCCACCCCTTGTAAAGTATAAACTCCCAGTGAGGCCGCCGCGAGACTCTGGCGACGGACGAGGTGGACGTCCCAGGTGTGCTGGGATGAGGCGAAGGCGCGGCCGGGAAGGCGATTGCGGTTTGGGGTTCTAGGTGAGAGGTGAGATAGAGAGAGAGATTCGTGTACGTACCGTACATACCGTACGTACGCTGGTATGGTACATACGGTACGTACGCTGGTACATACGTACCATATGCTGGTACGGTACATACGGTACCTACGCTGGTACGGTACGGTATGCACGATACGTACCGTACACGCGCGTACATACCGTACGTACGGTACTTATGGTACGTACCGTACATGCGTTGAACTTATTTCGCGCGCGGCCCCCCCGCCCTCCCCCCCCCCCCCGTACGTAGCCAACCGTAGACGAGAGGTAGCGAGGTGCAGCGGGGCGAGAGACTGCGTGCATAGGCGAGGGGAGGAGGCGCGAGAGACGCCGTGGGGCGCGAGAGACGTAGAGGCGGGACAGGAGGGAGCTGCAGGGACGAGACGGAGGTGGGAGACATTTGAGCGTTGCGATGTTGTTCTTGATTTCGGTGGAAGGGGGGGGGGGGCGCTCTTACCCCCCACACCCAGCGGCCTCTTAGTGGTTTTCTTGGTTGTCGTTGTGATTGTTGTTGTTGTGGTTGTTGTGGTTGTGGATGTTGTGATTGTTGTGGTTGTTGTTGTCTCTCGCGCCGTGAACCCGGACCCAAGAAACCCGAGAGAAAATGTCCACGGAGATGTATTTGAAGAGCTGAGCCAAGGGAAAAAATAACGTATACATAATATATTGACATAATTATATTTATGTAAATATATATTTATACAGATATATGAATGTATAAATATTTATTTATATGAGCTCTATATTTATATATTTGTTTTGGCGTATATTTATATGAAAACATTTATTTATATAAATAAAAACATTTGAACCTTATGGCGGTACTCCGGCTCTCGCACAATGTCGGTGATGCAGTCATTCTTAGCCTGTGGAGGGTCAACGATGCGGCAATCGACTCATCTCGACGAGCTGGACACGATGCACCACCGCTACGGTGCGTACCGCCAGCGTTCAGGGTTTCGGCGCAGTCATCGTGGAGTGGCACCGATGTCGGATTGAGTGGTACCCCAGTCGCGGAGTGAACTACACCCCTGGGCAAAAATCGTGCCCCAGAAATAGAATATTTAATTGCCTCGCCCGGTTTGTATTATTATGGTACCGCCATAAGGATAATTTATATCAGCAAACATTCTAAATATTTATATAAATATACGCCAAAACAAATAGATTTGCCGGTTTTATACTAAAATCTCAGCTGCCAATCGTGACTGATCGACCGCCAATTAAATCTCCTCCTCAAATCGGTTCGCCTGCATCATCGCTGGCTCTTTCACGCTGGCGCGCTCAGCGGCACCTTTGGGTCAGCACCTCACGACCCCTGTTGTCATCTCGGGCGTTTTGGCTCCTTGAACAATCCGCCAGCGGTCGGCCGATTTTAAACCGAACGGAGCGGCACCATTGAGGCCCCACGACGCGACAACTCCATTTTCGGTTGGCCGTGTCGGGTTGGTGGAGGGTTTTCATTTTTAAGCAAAACGTGACATGATGCCCCTGGTGACGATCGCTTGTGTTGTGATCGAAACGTCGTAGTTTATTTTATTTTATATTTATTATTTCTTATTAATTTGAACCTTTACCGAAAGACCCAAAGAATATGAATTCCTGCAGTCACGAAAGCTTTAAGTGAAGATGATGCGCTACGATTACGGGACCCGGCTCGTGAATTGTCAACGCCGCAGGTTTCGATAGCCCCCCACCATACGGAAGTGAGAAACCATTCCAGTCGAATGACGACTGCGAAGAAAGAATTTCGGCTGCCGGTCGTCGTCATCGTCGTCGTCATCACCCGCTGATGACCGACGAAAATAAAAGAAATCACATTCTGTTCCCTATTTATTTCTACTCGTGCTCATTGTTGTTGGGGGGGGGTGAGGGGGGGCATCGTACAAGGGGAGCGGACGACCGTGGCCGACTGCGGCCACGGTTGCCGGACAGCCGCCGGGGCAGTGCGCAAATTTGACGTTCGGGTTTTGTTTGGTGACGGTCAAGGTTCACTTCTTTACTACTTCCGATTTTACGACCGGAACGCCGATATGATGACCCGGACCGAATCACGCAAGGCAGCGGCAAAAGCGCGCGACTGTTGACTAGGGCCGGTGCGAAAGTACGGTGCAGTAACCTTGGGGGGGGGGGGGGGGGTTTGTTTGCTGAATCGCATTTACGCTGTAAAAAGCAGCCATCGCGTGGCTGCGGGACACAGAACTGAGATGATAACGGGGAGTGGCAACACCACCGCGTTACTGTCTCGTTACTGTATCATTCCGCGTGCCGTATACGCGCCACTGAGCCCGTGCAGCTCAAAGAAAGTAGTCCTCGTAGTAGAGATGCGCATGTCGCGTTATAACGGTACACGTGTCGCGTTGTAACGGTACGCGTGTCGCGTTGTAACGGTACGCGTGTCGCGTTGTAACGGTACGCGTGTCGCGTTGTAACGGTACGCGTGTCGCGTTGTAACGGTACGCGTGTCGCGTTGTAACGGTACGCGTGTCGCGTTGTAACGGTACGCGTGTCGCGTTATAACGGTACGCGTGTCGCGTTATAACGTACGTGTGTCACGTTATAACGGTACACGTGTCGCGTTATAACGGTACGCATGTCACGTTGTAACGTTGCGCGTGTCGCGTTATAACGGTACACGTGTCACGTTGTAACGGTACGCGTGTCGCGTTATAACGGTACACGTGTCGCGTTGTCACGGTACGCGTGTCGCATTGTAACGGTACGCGTGTCACATTGTAACGGTACGCGTGTCGCGTTATAACGGCGCGCGTTCCATGTTATATCTGCTACGATTTCACCGCAAGCGCGGACACGACTTGGGCAATTCGGGAGATATTTGGCAGTGCAGTATTTTTCATCGCGAGTTCGCAGGAGGGGGCCTGGTTGGCAGGCGTGGAAGTTTACAGGGAGTATAATGCACTTTGATGCCTTTGTCATTTCACTTGAGCGGCCGCTGATCGGGCGGGTAAAAACAATTACGTTGGCACTACCCTCCCCCCGCCCCGATCGCGAACCCGACCAGGAGGTACAGCAAGTAGGTTGTGAGCCCCAATCTGCAAGATGGGCTTTCGTCTGTGTACGTGAGGGCCACATCGCTCGTTTTACGTTTTTTGTTTGCCAAACATTCAATGTTTGAAACGAAAGACATGCCCTGGAGTCATAAAAAATAAAAATGTTGACGTTACTTTTGTATTTATTTGACAGTTTCTGTGCGACTGCGGTGGGGGGGAAAACGTTGAGTTTTCAAATTATATTTTTTCTGGTGGAGGTCATAACTTTCAGCCGCAGGAAAAGCGATCCGCCCTTCGTTGCGCCCCGTTATGAACGTTGCACGCGCGTTATTATAGATAACAATAATAATGGGTACCCATAATTATTGATACGCATTAATGTATCCCCTCCACCTTCACACGTGAAGGGCTCACAAGTGACGTCATCACATCTACACCTCTAAAAAACGAAACGGGAGGATTTCTCCACAAACCTGGCTGTCCGCCTGTAATTACTGGCGAAACGTGGCACTCAGATCGTAAATGTTGTGGATTTGTTGTACTTGTAACGAATTGGCACGTTCTGTTTACGTGACAAACCAGACTAATTGGCTGTGCCGGGTGGTGGCAGGTTTAACGACACATTTATATTTCTGCGATCTCACCCCCCCCCCCCCCATAAAAAACCTGTATTATGGATGATGTTGGTCGAGAAAGCCTACGACTATCTGTTAAACTAACAATAAAAAAACATTGTTTTTACCCACGTGTGAATTGTTGTCTGTTGGGCTAATGTCACCGCTGTAAGGTCGCACCCATTACAACACGCGCAAAGCGCCCGCCACAAATGAGCCACGATGCCTTGCCGATCTCGTCCGAGGAGCACGAACCACCAACACGCAAATTATGGTGATCGTCTTCAAGTTCATGTATTAGGTATAAAGCCCTGTGAGCCATTCGGCTCTTGAATCGGGTGCAACCGCAACAAACAAAAAACAAAAACACGAACAAAAAAACATCTGAAAGTGAATATGTGACTGAGTGCAAACAGAAAATCCAAGAAAAGACAGCAAAATATTGCAGAAAAAAACACCGTACACCAACGCTGTGTGCAAAAATCCCAGTGGGATGCAAGTCAAACAACAACAACAACAACAACCATAA